CAAGTGCTCTCATTTGCCAAAAACACCAGTGAGGTTTAGAGGTGAAGTGGCTTGTCTGAGGTTCTGCTGGAAGTGAGTGACATCCCAGCCAAGTTCCTTGATTCCTAATCTGGGAGAAGGCCCCCGAGGAATGGGTGGGTAAAGCATCCCCAGGAGGGATGCCAACACTGGGAAGGGTAGGCCCCAGGCTCCCTGCAGTGAAACCAGGAGCAGGCATTTACTGTGTCCCCAGGCCCACGCCTCACCTGTAATACTCACCCTGGGGGGTCAGACCATTAGCTCTATTTCGTAGACATGGAGGCATATACATATCCCCCCAGCAGGCAAGGGGCTCGTCTGACACACAGCTAGCCAGCAGTATCTGAACCCATGTAGGACCCCAAAACTTTTTTCCTGGAGCCCTGGAGAACGAAGGGCTCCCTGCTCCCACCCGTGTCCCCAGGAAGCTGGCCCAGTGTCCCTTGCTCTGGCTGCAGCTGGTCCCCGACCCACACCTTACCATAGGCCAGAAGCGCGGCGAGGACCGTGACACCCAACATGTTGTGAGTGCGACTTGCTCAGGACCGAGCCGCTGTCGGGATGGGTGGGGGCACACTTATAGGCAGAAGGGGAGGTGGTCAAGGCTGAGCCACTCCTTGGAGAGAAACCTGGTCCGACAAGGCCCTTTCCCTGACCTTGGGTTGTTACTGTTTAATTTGGACAGGAGACGGGGTTGGCCCAGAGGCATGGATCCCCAAATCTCCTGACACAGAACAACTTCTGGGGTTACCAGGTTTTGGGGGTCCACTGCTCTGCTTGGAGTATGTTCTCATTCTCTTCCCCACCTCATTCTTTTTAATCATCATTTATTGGGCACCTACGGTGTACGAGGCATTGTGTTCAATACTTCTTGCATTCACTGAGTTCTCCCGACGACATGAAGTAGACATTTTTGTCCATTCACTAAAGATGAGGAAGTTGAGACTCAGGAGGTCAGTGACTGGCCAGGGTCTCACAGCTGCTTAGCAACGGAACCAGGATTTGAAGTCAGCACTTTTAACACCAGTCTGGGGGAGCTTCAAACTGCTGCGATGTACCCCTTCCTCCTCTGTCTTACAGTTTTCTGTTGCTCCCTCTTTTTTCTTTCTCCCTATTTCCACTAATATAGTCTGGTCTTGGGGGATCCTCTGCTTTCCAGCACCTGCTCCCAGACTATGGATGGAGGTGAGGTCCAGACAGCCCCTGGAAGGTGCCTGGTTGGACAAATTTCTATCTAGAGCCAGCTCAGCTGTCTCTCTGCAAAGCCTTCTGTCTTGCTGTCTCTAACATGGGCGGACGGGACCAGATGCATACCCAGGCTCCTTTCAGTTCTAAGTTTCCATGACTTGAATGTCAAGGTCAAGTGGCACAGCTGGGTTAGTGACTTGGTGTGGGTCCAAAGCACTATGTGCCCAGAAGTTCTATCCAGAGCCTGGACAGGCTAGGGTTCAGTCTATGTCTGGTTTAACCCATTTGCCCCAAAGCCTGACTTCATTCAGCCTGGTCACGGTCTGCTCTTCCTTCCCTTCATCCATGTGCTCCTTGGAAGTCATTTTCTGAGCTGGGCCCCGGGGATTACCTTAGGAATTATTTCCCAATAAAGAAGTTCAGAACATTATGCACCTCACTGTTGATGGTGGTTATCTGGAGGCACAAGAGGATTCTAACTTACATATTTTATACAGCTTAAATTCTTTTTTAAAACAAGCATGCATTACTTTGTAATATAAAAATGAGTAAAGTTCTGATGAAAAATAAGACAGAGTCAGGGAGCATGAAGGTGTGTATAGGGGTGTTTCCTGCTGTGATGTTCTTAGGCCGTAGGGGTGTCTGGGGGACCTCAGGCTGTGGGGAACGTTCTATGGTATTCTAGAGGCTAGTCTTAATAGAGGGGTTAGTACACCTTAGACCCAGGACTGTTGGTCCCCAAGCTCTGCGAAGGGTCACTCTGGTCTAGGAACTGACATTGTAAACAGAGAGGCAGACTGAACTAGGTGACAGGTCTTGGGGGTCAGTAGGGATTAGGAGGCAGGGGACAAGACTCCTGGCTTCTGTCTCAGCCAGTGACTTATTTTGGATGGCCCCAGACCTCGGGCAGCCTCTTTGGGCCTCAGCTTCTCTTGAGCAACCTGGGGAAAATGGTTCAGTGGGCTTCTATGTGGGGAGTTTGCTGATTTGTTCTCAGAGAAGTACAGCAGTTTCTTGGTGCCCATTTCAGGCGTATGTGTCTGTAGATACACAAGCGTATGGGGACAGGTAGACAGACACACACATGCCTCCAAATCCACTGACACGCACATACCAGTGTCACACATCCAAACATGTGCACAAACAGAAATAGCCCCAAAGGCACAGGTGCACAGGTGGTGAGGTACCTGTGATGAAGAGTCGTTAATTTTTTTTCTTTTTGTTCATAGAGAAATGGACCCTTTTCTTGGAGGGAAGTTGTGGCTGCTCTGAAAGGTGCAGACAGCATCAGCTTTAGGGGAGCTCCTTGTTTTGAAACATTTCCCAGGTGGGGCCCTGTAGCTAAGGCAGCACCAATGGTTGTGCTTGGAGAAAACTGAGAGTCACCTTCATTTCCTTCAGATGCTGAAGATGGGAGGTGGAGTGCTTTGCTCCGTGCTGGACCGTGCTTCTGGGGGATGGAAAACCTAGAGCCTTCGCTTCCTAGCTGTGTGACCTTGTGCTAGTGCCTCAACGTCTCTGTGTTTCCACACACTCATCTATAAAATAGGGGTAAAAAATGGCACCTGCCTCATGCTGGCGGGGAGTGTCTGCCACATGGCAAGCACCATGTAAATGTAGCCTGGTAACTGTTGTCATCTGGTTCTTAAGAGAAAGCTTGAGTCTGGACAGTCATGGGCCCTTTGGCCTTTGGGGGCCCCTTCCTCCATTAAAAAAATACTAAAATTTATGTCTTATGATTGCATGAGCATAAAGACTAATATAATCTAGTTTGGACTATATTCATTTTTTCCCCCTGCTGATTTTAAAATAAACTAGAACATTACTGTGGGCCCAAAAGGTATGGTGGGCCCCAGGCCTTGTGCCCACCATGCTGATGGACAAACGGACCTCGGCAGAGGCCACTCCTCGTGGCAGGTGATGTACAACCGAATGGCTGAGAGAGAGCCTCAGAAGATTATGTGGATCATCATAAGCATCTTCTCTGGGCCCTGGAGGTGCCTTTAGCTGTGCCCCCGGCTGCCAGGGAGAAAACTGGGTTCTCACTGGGCGGGGGCAGGAGCTGCCTCTGGCATGGGCCCAGCTAGGGTCAGCCCCTCCCGACCTGGCCCTGGTGCAGGCAGCAGTTGGTCAGAGGACGTCACTATTCCAGGGGCCCAAACTGCCCAAGTTACAGTGGTGACCTTGGCTGGCTCACCCCATTTTCTGGCTATGGTAACCAAGATGGAAGAAGCCGCCCCCGGGGACTTGCCAATATCTGCAAGGAGGAGCCCTGGGGGAGTGGGTTTGTCCCCCAGCCACTCAGAGCCATGCTTTGCTGGAAAAGTAACCATGGATGACTTGGCTGTGGCTGGGCTCAGGGGCAGGGTGCCTCTGGGGTAGCGATGCCAGGGTTGGGAGCAAGGCGGGGGTGTGAGAGCCTGAGAAATTGGGCAGGTGCTACTGCTTGGGGCCCATCTTTTCTAGCTGCTGGGACAAGACTCAGGTGGCAGCTGTTGCTCAGGTGAGGCCCACTAGGGTGCCAGCTGCGGGGCTGGCAGGTTTCTCCTCATAAGCAGATGAAGATACTGGGGGTTCAGAGAGGTTTTGGGGACTGAGTGAGAGAGGTGGTGTTTGGTGATGGGGGCTGGGACTCACTGCGGGGAGGCCTGCTGAGAGGGTGGGACTGGGGAGGGTTTGAGGATGTGTCTCCCATTCCCCTCTGGTCCCTGAATCACTGTGAGCCTCTTCGTTCCTCTCTGCCTGGGCTGGGAGTTCGGGGGGGGGGTCTCGTCAGGCCAAGGCTGGGCACCCCCCTCACCAGCTGACACCTGTTGGTGGAGGGCCCTGGCTTGGGACAGCTGGCCCCCGTGTCGCTCACATTCGGAGGGCATGAGGTCCCTACTCACAGCCAGCCCGGCGGGCCGGTGCTCTGGAGCTTGAGTGTCAGCCCTTCCCTGTCAGTATCCTCCTCAGGGAGGCCTTTTGCAAGAGGACATTCCAGATCCTGATGTTCCTCCTTTGGGGAAAGAGAATTCATAGTGCTTCACCTAACATGCTGGGTTAACGGTGGTGGCACCTGAGGCACTGGGTGGCACATGGGGGTGGCACTCCCCAGGAAGTACGTTCAAGGACACTGCCTCCCCAGGTGGGGACTGTTGGAAGCCCAAGGCGCTGGACATGCCGGCTGCTGTACTTCCACCCACAGCCACTTGGGGGCAGCGAGGGCCAGCCAAATCCCAAAGTGCCACTCCTGGGAGGGAGAGGGGCGCCCAAACTGGAAACCACAGGGCTGGGAAGACCTTGTGACCCTCACCCACCCTCACCTTGAACAGACGGGGAGACTGAGGCCCAGTGGGAACCTCGTCTGTCAAGCTGCACAGGGAGCACCCAGGCTCTTTCCTGGGCACCCCATTGTTGCAGCCTGTGTGTGGAGGAGGGTCTTGGGGGTCCTCTAGGGTGCATCAATCCAGGATCCCTGTGGTGGCGGTGTCACTCTGGGCGCATGCCCTCTGAACCCCGCCAGCGGGGTGGGGATGAAATGAGTAAATATATGTAAAGCACTTACTGACTGGGCCCTGGTGACAGCGGGTGGGCATCAAACCCAACCTCCCCCATTTGAAAGAATCCCCTTTTCTCTCTGGCTTCTGACAAGGCAGGGAGCCACCGAGGCGAATGCCACCCAGCACCCAGGTGACCTCATCCCTGTCCCCTCTCCTCCCCACCAACCAACAAGAACCACACACACATAAGAATATAGAATTTTATCTTATTTTAGTTAAAAAAAATAATTGTACCACCGAATGAAGAAGTAGCTTTTTTTCTTTTTTGGGTGGGGGTGAGAAGGGAGGAAAAAGTAAAAAGCAAAAAGCCCAAAGAAAAAGAACTGTTTATATTCATCTGTATAAACATATATGCTAAGGCAAACGCAATCCAGGGCCAAGACTGCTGCACTGGGGTCAGTACCTCTTAATTTCTGCAGATTCTAAGGCCAAAAAAATAAAACCTCTGCGAGTCCAACGGACGTCTTGTGGACTCTTGGGGCATTTTACTAAAATAAGAGTCATCGAGTTTAAAAAGCAGTGACACTGTCATGACACACACTGGAAGCTGCATAACTGTGGCCTTGATGGCCATTCACTTGTTTGGCCTGAGTGACGGGCACGGCTTCACGACACAGCAACGGACACGGACACACACATGGACGGACACACACGTGAGCGAGCACATTGGGCGCTGCGTAGGATGTAGCCACAGCCCGCCTGGGGATGGGCACGGGGAGGGCTGGGGTCCCCATGCTTCCTCAGGGGGTGGGTGTGATGGGACAGGTCCTGTCGCTGGTGACAAGGCGGTGAACATCACCAGGGAAGGATGGTGTGAAAGGGCTGAGCGAGGGGCCCTGCTTCCCACTGCCCAGTCTGTGCAAACCCCTTAAAGCACTTCTCGGACGCCTCCTGGAGGACAGAGATGGGCACCGGCTCCCTACCCCACCAAGGGGCACATCCCTCCTTCCCACCCTACTTTCTCCAGAACCCCTGTGACCCTCAGGCTGTTCCAGGGGGGTTAGGGGAGTGATGTTTCTGCCCCCAGAGCCTTCCCTGCCCATGATCCATGGCATGGCTAGCAGAGCGTGGGCCCATGAGGTAGATTGGCACAGCTACCCCCTCACCCTGCCCTGGCTGGGCCCCAGATAACTGGGGTCTCCATGTCAGCATGGGGTGCCAGGGGCCTGGGTCCCTTTGCCGAGATAGAAGCACCCCCTCGACTGGCAGAGAGGAGGCAGGGCTGGAGGGACAGGTGCTGGGGGTGGGGAATCTCGCATGCCTCTGATCGGTTCTTAGATCCCTCGAGGGAGCTGCCCACAATTCCTGCCATCTGTTGCCCTCCTAGTCTAGGAAGGGGGTCAGGGAGCCCCGGGGGCAGTGCAGCCTGCAGGCAATGCGCAGGTGGCCTCTGGGCAGGGTGGTGGTGAACAGGGAGAGGCACAGGGAGGGGTGTGTATGGAGGGCAGGGAGCACCCTGGAGCCAGGCGCTGGGCTTGGAGCAGTGAGCTGTGCTGGAGCAGGCAGCAGGGCAGCCGGGCAGCTGGGGGCTGGGGTGTGAGAGACGTAGGAACCGCCAGGGAGGGCCGGGCCCGGCAGGGAGCCAGCCCAGTGTGGCGGCCTGGGGAACTGCAGGAGGAGTCACCTCGCTGAGACCCCTCAGCTGGCTCTGTTCGCAGGCAGGTTTAGGTTTTGCGCATGGTCCTTCCAGACAGAGCTGAGGATTCAGGCTCGGCCTCCAGGGTGCCTCAGCGGCGGGGCTGGGCGCGGCGCAGGGCCATGCCGTCCCACAGCCCCTGGCTACTTGAAAGTGGACTGCAGCTCCTTGAAAGCCGCTTTCCGCTGCTTCATCTCCTCTGCCTGCTTCTTCCTTTCCTCCTGTTCCGCCTTGATCTCCTCCTCAAAGCGGCTGGACACGTTGATGGCCTGGACCTGGGCAGGAATGGGGTGAGATGGGGGTTCTCTGCGCCTCCCCTGCGGCCTTGCTCTGGGGTCCCCCTGACCCTGGTTCTGCTGTGCCCCTCCCACCAACGAACGCACGCATAGCTCCACCTCTCACTGCTGCAACCGCCAGGAACTTCATTCACCTTTCCGAGCCTCATTTTTTCCACCTAGAGCCTGGGGCTCAATACCTCCTGACCTCAGGCATTCGCTGGGGTGATTGAAAGCGAGAACACACACTCAGGGGCTGCTGCTCAGCATGGGTCTGAGGAGTAGGAGCTTCTGCTATTGCTATTCTGTCCCGTTTCCCGTCCTGAGAAGCCCAGCTGCTCACGCAGCCCCACTGATGAACCCGAAAACATCCCGTCAACCTTAGAAGCCCAGAGGGAGGTGGGAGGCGGCCTTTGGAAGGAATGTTCTTAGCTAGTATGGGAAGAGGGAGACACGAGGAAGGCAGGTCCTCTTGGGTGCTGGGAGGGCAGGATCCAGGAGCCATACTTGTCCCCTTACCTGTGTGCTGAAAGGGGAGGGTGACTCCGCAGGTGGCTCTAGGGTTTGCCACACTCCCTCCAGCCTGGGGCTGGTGGGGCTGATGTCTCAGAGAGGCCCCGTGTTTCTGGGCCTGCTCTGCTGTCTCCCAGACCTGCCCTTAAAGGCCTGATCTTTTGGGGTAGGGGCTTCATGAGCCAGGCACAGGTCAAAGTGGTCCCTATTCCCTCTTTAAGAGTACATGCCCCTCACCCCAACCCTAGGGCAGGGAGAGAAAGGGGAGCTGGACAGGAGCACAGCCTGGAAGGGAGGGGACAGAAGCCTGGAGTGCCATGGCCTTGCCCAGCCCCGCTGGGGCGTCAGCTGCCCATGTCCCGTCTGCAGCCTCAGCTACAGGCAGGGGAAGGGCTGACCCTCAGCTAACTCAGGGTCCCTCAGCCAGGGTCTGGCCCCCCACCCGGCTCCACATATCCTCCCGTTCCTTACCTTGGCCTCAAAGAAGCTCTTGGCCCCCTTGACACCCTCGGTGGAGACGTCGATCTCGGAGAGGCGGGCCAGCACGTGCAGCCCGCTGTCCTCCTGCAGCTCCCCAGCCGCGGCCTTGCGGAAAATCAGGAGGAACTGCCGCAGGGAGGAAAGTGGGGTCAGGGAGAGAGGGAAGGCGCCGGGGTCCCTGGCCACACCCGGGCCCAGGCTCAGGCCTCCCCTGGGACACACGGGGCATGCCCGCGGGGCTGGGCTCTCCCCTCTCCATGCTCTGTGTCCTGCACAGGCCCCTGTGCCCCTCCCCCTCTGGGCCTCAGTTTGCCCAACTGTACAGCGGGAGGCGAGGTGACCAGGTTCTGGGGTTACTGCAGGCCGGCTTGGCCATGGTCAGCTCCCATAGAGAGCCATCCCCGACCTCTTATTGTCTCCACTGTTTCCCAAACTAATATGCTCTAAATTCCATTAGAGGGTCTGCAAGGTACATGATTGTGCCCACTTTACAGAATGAGGAAGGCTCAGAGACAAGAAAAACACCTGCTCTAAAACTCCGTGCCAGAAAGTGACAGAAGAAAGATCTGACCCCATGTCCTGACTCCAAACCATCACCCTGCCCTGCCACCCCCGTGGCATTTAGCCCTGGGCTGCCTGGCGTCCAGTACCACTGCTCTGGCTTTGAGCCTCCGTTTCCTCTTCCGTAACACAGGCTCACTCACGCTTCCCATCTCAGAGTGAGGGCTGCGTGAGGTGGGAGCCTGGAGCCAGGCAGCCCGGGGCACAGCTCCTCTCACACCCACAGCACACGTCTCTCCATGTCCCCCACTCCTGAACCATGGGATCCTGTCATTCCACTCTGTGCATCTTGCCCTCCACATGCCGGGACCCGTGGCGAGCAGGGCCTTCTCTGCACCCCCAGAGCCCAGACAGGGTCATGCAGAGAACGCTCCTCCCTCCTCCTCACTTGGGGCATCTCAGAACCCCCCCTGGTGCCGGCTCTAGGGCCCCGCTGAAGCCACACTCAGCCAACCATCAGCCATTCAATAGCGGCTGCCAAGGAAATGTTGCTCAGTGACAAAGGGGACTTAGTCTTTTCCGGCCACCAAGCCCTTAGGGTCGACCTCCCACGGGGAGTGGGGCTCACCTCCCGGAAGCTGAGCTTGCTGTCAAAGTCCTCATCCACCTCCTTGATCATGTTTTTCAGGCCCAGGTGGGTCTGGGGGGCTCCCAGCTTCTCCATCATTAGCTTTAGCTCCATCAGGTCAATGAAGCCGTCCCGGCCAGCATCGTATCTGTGGGTGCAAAGAGAAAGGCCTAAGGGCATCCAGACACCCTCACACCTGAGTAGGCAGAGCAGTTCATATGCAGGGGCGCAAGGAGCCTGGGGACTCAGAGGGCACCTCCCACCAACACGCCATCCTATCACAGCTGGAAGGGACCTTGGCCCAGGCAAAGTCCCGATGCGTGGCACTGCTGCTTGGTTACCTCTGATGATGGGGAGCTCACCACATGGCCTAGCAGCCTCCTTCATGCTAAACAGTGCTAACTTTTGGACAAGGCCACTGCACAAGGAACCTGAAACCACAGCCTCTCTGTACTGTGACATGAGCAAGTAGGGAGAGAAAGAATTCACAGTACCATGTGGGTATGGAGCAGGAGGTGGGCTCTGATGCCAGCCTCACTGACCATCTCCAGGATCAGCGGGCTGACTGGCATCTCCACCAGCACTTGAAGCACATCTTGGCCCCATCTCTCCCCCAGTCCCTGTGCCCACCCAGGAAGGAGGCAGGAGGTATCACAGGTCACAGGGCAGAGCCAGAGGTCATAGGAGGGAGCTTCCCCCAGGGTGTGTTGAGGGAACAAGTTGTGCAGGGTGCCTTGGCTGAGTGGGGGTGGGGGTGGAGCTGGGCTGCCGGAAAGGCCTGGAATGGTGAATAGACAAGAGTCTTGGCCCCTCCCACTTTAAGTCTCCTTTTTCTACCACCAACCAACACACCTGGCAGAAGCAGGGACAGGGTTGGGGGCAGAGTCTATAATCATCTTTCTCCACCAGCCTCCAGGTGGTAAGAGCTTGGGTCAGAGATGGCCTCCGGGCGGTGGCCCTGGCGCCAGAGTACACAGCAGGGTGGCTGTGGGGTTGTTCACACAGCCCCACCCCAGCCCTCTTATCAGGCTAACCAAACACCTGCCCTATCTCTTGGGGGCTGAGGCAAGTGGTCTTGGGGTTGGAAAATGTGCCTCCTGAGAAACCTCCTGCAGTTACCAGGGCCTCAAGCTGGCTGGGTGAACAGTAGTGTGACCTAGAGGGGCTGACTTCCAGAAGCCTATGACCCGCGGACTTGGAGTTCCTACATGAACACACATCTCACTCCTGTGCTGCCTCAGGGCTCCCTAGTTCCCTGCCCCCATCTCTAATTATCCATAAGCTTTGCATGACTTTGGATATCTAATAGTAACATGCTTCATCTCCTCTGCCTGCTTCTTCCTTTCCTCCTGTTCCGCCTTGATCTCCTCCTCAAAGCGGCTGGACACGTTGATGGCCTGGACCTGGGCAGGAATGGGGTGAGATGGGGGTTCTCTGCGCCTCCCCTGCGGCCTTGCTCTGGGGTCCCCCTGACCCTGGTTCTGCTGTGCCCCTCCCACCAACGAACGCACGCATAGCTCCACCTCTCACTGCTGCAACCGCCAGGAACTTCATTCACCTTTCCGAGCCTCATTTTTTCCACCTAGAGCCTGGGGCTCAATACCTCCTGACCTCAGGCATTCGCTGGCGTGATTGAAAGCGAGAACACACACTCAGGGGCTGCTGCTCAGCATGGGTCTGAGGAGTAGGAGCTTCTGCTATTGCTATTCTGTCCCGTTTCCCGTCCTGAGAAGCCCAGCTGCTCACGCAGCCCCACTGATGAACCCGAAAACATCCCGTCAACCTTAGAAGCCCAGAGGGAGGTGGGAGGCGGCCTTTGGAAGGAATGTTCTTAGCTAGTATGGGAAGAGGGAGACACGAGGAAGGCAGGTCCTCTTGGGTGCTGGGAGGGCAGGATCCAGGAGCCATACTTGTCCCCTTACCTGTGTGCTGAAAGGGGAGGGTGACTCCGCAGGTGGCTCTAGGGTTTGCCACACTCCCTCCAGCCTGGGGCTGGTGGGGCTGATGTCTCAGAGAGGCCCCGTGTTTCTGGGCCTGCTCTGCTGTCTCCCAGACCTGCCCTTAAAGGCCTGATCTTTTGGGGTAGGGGCTTCATGAGCCAGGCACAGGTCAAAGTGGTCCCTATTCCCTCTTTAAGAGTACATGCCCCTCACCCCAACCCTAGGGCAGGGAGAGAAAGGGGAGCTGGACAGGAGCACAGCCTGGAAGGGAGGGGACAGAAGCCTGGAGTGCCATGGCCTTGCCCAGCCCCGCTGGGGCGTCAGCTGCCCATGTCCTGTCTGCAGCCTCAGCTACAGGCAGGGGAAGGGCTGACCCTCAGCTAACTCAGGGTCCCTCAGCCAGGGTCAGGCCCCCCACCCGGCTCCACATATCCTCCCGTTCCTTACCTTGGCCTCAAAGAAGCTCTTGGCCCCCTTGACACCCTCGGTGGAGACGTCGATCTCGGAGAGGCGGGCCAGCACGTGCAGCCCGCTGTCCTCCTGTAGCTCCCCAGCCGCGGCCTTGCGGAAAATCAGGAGGAACTGCCGCAGGGAGGAAAGTGGGGTCAGGGAGAGAGGGAAGGCGCCGGGGTCCCTGGCCACACCCGGGCCAGGCTCAGGCCTCCCCTGGGACACACGGGGCATGCCCGCGGGGCTGGGCTCTCCCCTCTCCATGCTCTGTGTCCTGCACAGGCCCCTGTGCCCCTCCCCCTCTGGGCCTCAGTTTGCCCAACTGTACAGCGGGAGGCGAGGTGACCAGGTTCTGGGGTTACTGCAGGCCGGCTTGGCCATGGTCAGCTCCCATAGAGAGCCATCCCCGACCTCTTATTGTTGTCTCCACTGTTTCCCAAACTAATATGCTCTAAATTCCATTAGAGGGTCTGCAAGGTACATGATTGTGCCCACTTTACAGAATGAGGAAGGCTCAGAGACAAGAAAAACACCTGCTCTAAAACTCCGTGCCAGAAAGTGACAGAAGAAAGATCTGACCCCATGTCCTGACTCCAAACCATCACCCTGCCCTGCCACCCCCCTGGCATTTAGCCCTGGGCTGCCTGGCGTCCAGTACCGCTGCTCTGGCTTTGAGCCTCCGTTTCCTCTTCTGTAACACAGGCTCACTCACGCTTCCCATCTCAGAGTGAGGGCTGCGTGAGGTGGGAGCCTGGAGCCAGGCAGCCCGGGGCACAGCTCCTCTCACACCCACAGCACACGTCTCTCCATGTCCCCCACTCCTGAACCATGGGATCCTATCATTCCAGTCTGTGCATCTTGCCCTCCACACGCCGGGACCCGTGGCGAGCAGGGCCTTCTCTGCACCCCCAGAGCCCAGACAGGGTCATGCAGAGAACGCTCCTCCCTCCTCCTCACTTGGGGCATCTCAGAACCCCCCCTGGTGCCGGCTCTAGGGCCCCGCTGAAGCCACACTCAGCCAACCATCAGCCATTCAATAGCGGCTGCCAAGGAAATGTTGCTCAGTGACAAAGGGGACTTAGTCTTTTCCGGCCACCAAGCCCTTAGGGTCGACCTCCCACGGGGAGTGGGGCTCACCTCCCGGAAGCTGAGCTTGCTGTCAAAGTCCTCATCCACCTCCTTGATCATGTTTTTCAGGCCCAGGTGGGTCTGGGGGGCTCCCAGCTTCTCCATCATTAGCTTTAGCTCCATCAGGTCAATGAAGCCGTCCCGGCCAGCATCGTATCTGTGGGTGCAAAGAGGAAGGTCTAAGGGCATCCAGACACCCTCACACCTGAGTAGGCAGAGCAGTTCATATGCAGGGGCGCAAGGAGCCTGGGGACTCAGAGGGCACCTCCCACCAACACGCCATCCTATCACAGCTGGAAGGGACCTTGGCCCAGGCAAAGTCCCGATGCGTGGCCCTGCTGCTTGGTTACCTCTGATGATGGGGAGCTCACCACATGGCCTAGCAGCCTCCTTCATGCTAAACAGTGCTAACTTTTGGACAAGGCCACTGCACAAGGAACCTGAAACCACAGCCTCTCTGTACTGTGACATGAGCAAGTAGGGAGAGAAAGAATTCACAGTACCATGTGGGTATGGAGCAGGAGGTGGGCTCTGATGCCAGCCTCACTGACCATCTCCAGGATCAGCGGGCTGACTGGCATCTCCACCAGCACTTGAAGCACATCTTGGCCCCATCTCTCCCCCAGTCCCTGTGCCCACCCAGGAAGGAGGCAGGAGGTATCACAGGTCACAGGGCAGAGCCAGAGGTCATAGGAGGGAGCTTCCCCCAGGGTGTGTTGAGGGAACAAGTTGTGCAGGGTGCCTTGGCTGAGTGGGGGTGGGGGTGGAGCTGGGCTGCTGGAAAGGCCTGGAATGGTGAATAGACAACAAGAGTCTTGGCCCCTCCCACTTTAAGTCTCCTTTTTCTACCACCAACCAACACACCTGGCAGAAGCAGGGACAGGGTTGGGGGCAGAGTCTATAATCATCTTTCTCCACCAGCCTCCAGGTGGTAAGAGCTTGGGTCAGAGATGGCCTCCGGGCGGTGGCCCTGGCGCCAGAGTACACAGCAGGGTGGCTGTGGGGTTGTTCACACAGCCCCACCCCAGCCCTCTTATCAGGCTAACCAAACACCTGCCCTATCTCTTGGGGGCTGAGGCAAGTGGTCTTGGGGTTGGAAAATGTGCCTCCTGAGAAACCTCCTGCAGTTACCAGGGCCTCAAGCTGGCTGGGTGAACAGTAGTGTGACCTAGAGGGGCTGACTTCCAGAAGCCTATGTCCCGCGGACTTGGAGTTCCTACATGAACACACATCTCACTCCTGTGCTGCCTCAGGGCTCCCTAGTTCCCTGCCCCCATCTCTAATTATCCATAAGCTTTGCATGACTTTGGATATCTAATAGTAACTGCTTACTGAAATCCATCTTTGTGCTGGGAACTTTACATACTTAATTTTATCCCTGTAATGTTTTATAATGGAGGCTCAGAGAGGCTAAGTGACCTGCCAAAGGTCACACAGCAGTACAGGAAGTAGCTGGGCTTCCACTCCATGTCTGCCAGGCCATAAACCTGCACATTTGCTCTGTGCCCAGCCCCCTTCCATGTGTCCTGGGGCTGCCAGCCGCACAGAGGTAAATGCCTGGGGAGCTGAGCACAGCGTTTGTGTTAGGGTATAAATAGTTCAGCATCAAGTGAGTCAGTGACGCAGAAAGGGAAGACAGGTCTCTGGGAACCCTGCAGGGAATGGGGTCCTGAATCCTTTTCCCCCCACCATGGGGTGAGGGTGCTGGTGTGGGGACAGATGGCCAGAGGTCCCTGTGGCAGTGGCCATAGCTAGGCCGGAAGCAGATGTGGGAGGATGTGGTAAAGGGTGTGGGGCTTGGAAGGGCCCGGCTTTATTTACTGCTCAAGTGTACAGGTTTCTCCTGCAGCCAGGGCTGGCTCAGTTTCAGAGGAAATGCATATAGAGTGTTCAAACTTGGATGGAAACTGGAGTTCTGGATTTCTTGGTGTCTGGCAGCTCCCAGGCCTGGCTGGGCTGTAGCTTTCACTGCGGCTTGAACTGCCGCCTGTACCAATCAAGGGTCAATCAATTACTGGGTCTGGGCTCCTCCCCAGGCGGGCTCCGGCCCCCAGGGAAACAATGTAGGTGCTGGCCACAGTGACAGCAGATTAACTGCCTAGGGGAAGGTGACAGGTCAGGAACAGGCCAGGTGCTGGCTGGGAGTTGGAGCCCCACAGGTGGTGACACTGTCGGGGATTGTCCCCACAAGACCACTGGGGAACGGGCATCCACCATGTGCCCTGGGCTCTGGATCACTGGATCAGCTAGGTTCCAGGGTTAACCTGATTGAAGATGACCTTGAAGGTTTGTGCTCATATCAACTCTGCTGAGACTGACAGGGTCCAAATCCCAGATCTGCCACATGCTGGCTGGATAACCCTGGTCAAGTTATCCCACCCCACAAACCTCAATTTCACCATTATATCATGGCAATCAAAACACCTGTCTCAGGATTGAGACAAGTATTAACAGAGATAATCCAAGTAGATTCTTAGCACAGATCTTATACATGCTCTTAGCACCCTTATACATGCTCACTATAATAAATAAACAACAATAATATTATTAATATCTACCTTTAGGATTAATGAGATTAAGGATATAAAATGCCTAGTATGTGTTTAAAACCTGCTAAGTTCATTATAATAATAATAGTGGCTACTGAGAGCTTTTTGTATGCCAGAACTTATGTTAAACAGTTTGCACATATAACATGAATAAACATGGTGATGACAATAAGTCATAATGATAAAAAATACAACAGCTTCTCCCTGGGCACCTGATGGTGCACAGCTGTTGCAGACTCGCCTGGAGGCAGGGGGTGGACAGGATGACCCAGAGGTTCCTCCAGCATCTTCCCTTCCTCTGAAGGTCCCACTCCTTCCCACATTAGGCCTGATTCAAAGACCTCACCACCTGGGGAGGTGGAAAGACAGGACAGAGCCTTTTGCTTTCTTGCTGGGCAGAGGGAGAGAGGATCCTTAGCCCTGGAGTACTTTTCCATCCCTTCTCTGACATGGAGGGAAGTGATGAAGAGAAGCTGTCACTGTACCACCAGCAGGTGGATGACTGGCAACAGGAGAGAACGATGTTCTAAAATGGCTGGAAACTGGCATATCCCTGGCTGGGGAGACCCTCTCATTCCTTAGCCCCATCCCCAAGCTGGCACTGAGGGTGCAGGTGGCTCAGAGGATCCAGGGAGAGAGCCAGCACACCAGCACGGTCTGGATAGCCTGGTCCACCTGCTTCGTGTCACGTGGGGAAACTGGGGCCTAGAGTGGGCAGCCACCAGCCCATGGTGGTCATGGTGCGGGATTCCAAAAGTTGGAAGCTTGCTTTCTTCCTGCCTGTCTGCTTCCTTCTTCTGCTGCTGCTTCGGGTCCCATGGAGGGCCCTGAATTCTCAAGCTGGCAAGGGCTGGGGAGGCTGGGCTGAGCATGCAGCTTGGGGTCTGCCCAGGAGGGCCAGTTCTATCCAGTAGGAAGCGACAAAGCTCTGGGGCTGGGAGCTCAGCACTTTCCCCAGCGCTGGAGGGAGGCTGCTGCACCTGGCGCTGTGCCCACATTCCTGCCCGCCTCCCCCTGAATAGTTCTCCATAGGGAGGGTTCAGCAGCTGCTGCCCTGGATGCTGGTGACAAAATCCTCTCTCATCCACCCTTGGAAGTGGAGCAGCCGGCCATCACCCAGACAGGCTTTGCTCTTCTGGGCTGAGCTGGTCCCTCCCAGCTGGCTGCTCCTCTTCCCCTTGGTTCTGGTAACCAGGAGGTACACGGGTGGGCAGGGGCTGGCATCTACAGCAAAGAGTACTGATGCCCTGGCCCTGCAGCCAGGCCAGTCCCCGTTTCATAACAACATTATGATTGGCTCCTCTTTGCTGAGCACTTATTTTATGTCAGGCACTGTGCCAAGCGTTTTGCTTCAGATCCTCACAAGAACTCCACGAAGCAGGCATAAATATCCCCGTATTACAGATGAGGAGACTGAGGCTCAGCGAGGCAATGACTTGGCCAAGGTCATAGCTGGCAAGGATACAGCTGGGATCTGAACCCAGGCCTGATGAAACACATGTGCTTTTAATTACTATGCTATGTCCTGATGCCAACAGACCCTGTCCCAGAGAACCTCAGGTGGGGAGGGATATTGGAGGCTACCTCATTTAGATGTTCCAAAGTGATTCTTAAAGCAGTTTTTCTGCTTGGTGTCTTGAATACCTCTGAGGACGGGAAGCTCACTGCTTCCCTAAAGCAGACCATTTTGGCTTGGGAACTGTCTACTAGGAAGTCACTTCTCATGCATGACCCTCCCCACCTACCAGCTGCGCAACAGCTGCTGCATAGCGGAGGGTGGAGGCAGTGGTTTGGGAGCACAGAGGACCTCAATTCTGTGCCTTCTGATTCCTATCCCAGGCCTTTGCTGATGACCCCTGTGCCCACGAGGGTTCCCAGGAGAACAGGGAGCTGGGAGGGGGTTGTTTGTGGACCACGGAGCTCCCAGGCCCATCTGGTTTTGGTCTCAACATTCATAGACCTGGTCCTCTCCCACTGTCTGGGGAGGCCTCTACTCGTCCTGTGAAACGGAAGGCAGGTCTCTTGGGGCAGAAAAGCTTTGGTCTTGTTGGTAGTTACAGTCCACCTTCCCTGTAGGTGGACGCCCACTGCTCAGGGTTGACTACTCAGTGTTGCCCGTCAGTTCCTGCACACCCCCAGCCCCAGACTGCCTGACTCACGTGGGGAAAGCCCAGCCACTTCCTCCGGGCCTGTCTGCAGAATCTGACGCACGTCTGTGGCTCTGTGTCAGTCAAAGGGTATGTGCATGTGCGTGTGTGTGGCTCACGGCTCCCCGGTGGCTTTTCAGTGAGTCCGAGGATCAGTGGGAGTCCCTGGCTGATGGCAATCTGCTGGGGGCTGTCAGGGTGCGGGGACACCCTAACCTCGGGTTCAGCCACCTCATGCTGAGACCACACGCTGAGTCCCAGCAGGGAGGGCATCGCTCTCCCCTTATATGCCAGCAGGGGGTTTCAGCCAGCTCTCCCCTCCTTCCCTGCCTCCTTCCCTGACTGCTCTTAATGATTAATGTTAGAATAGTAATCGCAAATAACATTTACTGAATGATATTATCCAGTATTTATTACTGAACTTCATCTTTCCCCCAATCCTCTTGTTTATCCCCTTACCC